AATTTTCCCTTCATATTCAACTCACCCTGTGCCCTCTGTCTATACATATTCCCTCCAACTACCCTAATAGTGAGAAAGGTTTCATGAGTTACAAATATCATCTTTCCATGTAGCAATGTAAACAGTTCAGCTTTAATAAGTCCCTTATGATTTCTCTTTCCTGTTTACCTTTTTCATGCTTCTCTTGAGTCTTGTATTTAAAAGTCAATTTTTCTATAAGCTTTGTTTTTTTCTCAAACATACATTAAATTCCTCTATGTCATTGAATGTCGATTCTCCCCCCCCCCATTGATTACACTCAGTTTTTCTGGGTAGGTGATTCTTGGTTTTAATCCAAGCTTCTTTGACCTCTGGAATATCATATTCCAAGCCTTCCAGTCCCTTAATGTAGAAGCTGCTAAATCTTGTGTTATCATGATTATGTTTCCACAATACTTGAAGTGTTTCTTTCTGGCTACTTGCAATATTTTCTCCTTCACCTGGGAACTCTGGAATTTGGCTGTAATATTCCTGGGAGTTTTCCTTTTGGGATCTCTTTCAGGACATGATCTTTCCATTTCTATTTTACCCTCCAGTTCTAGCATATCAGGGCAGTTTTCCTTGATACTTTCTTGAAAGATGATGTGTAAGCTTTTTTTGATCATGGCTTTCAGGTAGTGTAATAATTTTAAAATTATCTCTCCTCAATCTATTTTCCAGGTCAGTTGTTTTTCCACTGAGATATTTCACATTGTCTTCTATTTTTTCATTCTTTTGGTTTTGTTTCATAATTTCTTGATTTCTCATAGAGTCATTAGCTTCCATTTGCTCCATTCTGATTTTAAGGAATTATCTTCTTCAGTGAGCTTTTGGACCTCTTTTTCCATTCTCCTTGTTGGCTTTTTGGATCTGCTTTGCATTTGGTCTAGTCTATTTTTTAAGGTGTTATTTTCTTCAGTATTTTTTGGCTCTCTTTTAGCAAGGTGTTGACTCATTTTTCATAATTTTCTTGCATCACTCTCATCTCTCATTTCTCTTCCCAAATTTTCCTCTACTTCTCTTACTTGATTTTCAAAATCCTTTTTGAGTTCTTCCACCAGTACATATTTTTCTTGGAGACTTTGCATGTAAGAGCTTTGACTTTGTTGTCTCCTTCTGGTTGTATGTTTTGATCTTCCTTGTCACCACAGTAAGGTTCTATAGTCTGTGTTTTTTTCTGTTCTTTGCTCATTTTCCCAGTCTGTTACTTGACATTTTAACTCTTTGTTAAGGTAGGGCTCAACTTCCAGTGTGGAGGGCATACTGTCCCAAGCTTCAGGGGTTTTGTGCAGCTGTTTTCAGAGATACTTCTAGGGTGCTGTAAGTTTTCAGTTCTTCCAAGGTGGTATGATCTAAGGAGAGGTGTTTACTCCTCTCCTGGCCTGTGCTCTCTGGTCTGTGAGTGATCACAAGCACTCTTTTCTGCCCTGGAACTGTGAGGAGAGTTCCCTCTCTACTGCTTCCACAAGCTCTGCTATGCCAGTGCTCCTCCTCACCCAAGACTGCCACCCAGATCCAAGTATGGTCAAAGCAAGAGAATCCCATCTCAGTGCCAGCAAAGAGACCCTTGTAATCTCTTTCTAATCAGTTGTTTGATTCCCTTACCTTCTATGGCTGAGAGCTCCAGAAGCAGCAGCTGCCACTGCCACCACTACTCCAGGGCTATGCTGGTGCCAGAGCTGGACTGTGCTCCTCTCTCACCCAGGTCCAATAGACCTTTCCTACTGACCTTTTAAGTTGTCTTTGGTGTTTGTGGGTTGAGAAGTCTGGAAACCACCACAGCTGCTAGTGATTCAGTCCCTTGAGGCCTATTCCTGGTTTGTTGGGGCCTGGTCTGTGCTGGCACAAGTTGAGCTGGACTGAGCTCCTCTCTTGGCCTGGTACAACAGACCTTTGCTGTTGACCTTCCAGGTTGTCTTGAGCTGGAAATTTGTTTCACTCTATCTTTTTGTGGGTTCTGCTGCTCTAGAATTTGTTTAGAGTCATTTTTATAGGTATTTGGAGGGGTTTGGGGGAGAGCTCAAGGGAATTCCTGCTTTTATTCTACCATCTTGGCTCCACCTCCTCTGCTTGTCATTTCTTATAGGACAATAATATTCCATTACAATCACATAACACAACTCATTCAGCCATTCACCAATTGACAGATATCCCCTTAATTTCCATTTCTTTGCTACAAAAAAAACAGCTGCTATAAATATTTTTGTACAAATAGGTTCCTCCCCTCCCTCCTTTTAAAAATCTCTTTGGGATACAGACCTGGTAGTGGTATTGCTGGGTCAAAGGGTATGCACAGTTGTGTAGCCCTCTGGGCATATTGAACCGTATTTTCTAACTTTTTAGGTGTATCCTCCTCTCTGACCATCTTTGCATTGAATTCCCCAGATATCAATGTATATTCTAACTTGTTTTACAGGATTCTTTTCATACACTTTCTTTACTTCTTATATATCTGCAATAGATGCTTGGTATATAAGCTATACCACTTTTTCTTTCCATTAATGGTCTCTTTGTCCATGCTTACCGTGGCCACTGTAAGAGGAGATTACCAAGTATCCAATGAAATGATGTTTCTTGCCACTATTTTTTTGAATTTATTTTGTAAATTCTGAACTTAAATACCAGAAAAGGAATATTTTCACATATACAACAGAATAGAAAAAGGGGATTCTTTATGAAACTCTGAATCTTCCATTTCATACCAGTTCCTTAAAAAAAAGTGTATATATGTATATGTACATGGGTAGTTGATATGCTTGTTTTATATATACACACACATAAAATTTTATTTTCAAAACTTTTATTTATTTGTACTTCCTTCTGTCCTATACACTTAACAATGTTACAATTACTCTCTTTTTGGGGGTGAGACATTACTATTGTTAATCTCATCTTTTTCTCCTCCTGAAAATTAACCTAGAGGAAGAAAAAAATCCCTCAAAACAAATAATCATGGTCAAGAAATATAAATCCGCATAGTGACCTTTATAAAAATGTGTGTCTCAACACCTTGTGTCCATCACCTCTTTGTCAGCAGGTAGGTAATATTCTTCATCATAAGCCCTCTGGAGATATGGTTTTGTTATTGCTTAACTCAGAATTCTTAAGTCTTTTTCAGTCAGTCATTTAGACAATAAAAATATATCAAATGCCTACGGTGTGCTAGGCACTATACTAAGGGCTGATGTATGGTTGTTTAAAGTTGTTTTTCTTTACAGTATTATTGTCCTTGTATAGATTGTTCTTCTGGTTCTGCTCACATCACTCTGCATCACTTCGTACTACTCAAGAGTCTCTGAAATTATCTTTTTATCATTTGTTAAGATATAATACTATTTCATTTCAGTTGTCTAAGAAGCAATACAAGGTACTCGCATAGATTCTAGTTCTTGTCTTATCTTTTTCTAATTTCTTTTCTTCTGTCCCAACTGCCATCCTAATTTTCCTTTCAGGGTCAGGAAATTTGTTTTACTTGCCACCATGTCCTTCCCAGTGATATACTCCCTCTTTAACCACCTCAGACCCTTCCTCCTAGCTTGGCTCCCTTTTGAGATTGACATATTTCTATATCAGAATGTTTGCGTATAGATTTGTGGGTTCAATCCTCTTTTGTTCATTTCAAGTAAGAGTTAAATTCATCTAATATCCACTCCGTCTCCTTCCTTCATGTTTATATATTCTTCTCATGTACTCACTTGTGAGGAATTGCAGTTTCCCTCCCTTTCTCCTTTCTGTACTAGTGTATTCTCCCTTTTATCCTCCCTTCTCTTCCCCCTCATCACACATTCAGAACAGAACTGACCACTACCTCGTGGAATTTGGCCCCCTTGGATCGTTAAGTTTCTGAATGTTGGATCTTCAGAGCCCTCTCTGGGGTCTCATGAAAGAATGTTAGGGATTTCTGAGCTCCTGGGGCTGGGCTGTCTGGGTCTGAGTATTAGTCTATACTGTGCTGATTGCTTTCTGGGGCTTTCAGGGTCCCTACCCTGGGGCTTTCTCAGGGGATCCCTCTTGTCTTGCTACCCATGTCCTTTTCTGGCCTCATTGGGCCTTCCGTTGCTTGAGGAACCCTCTTTCCTATTGAAGATGTCTAAGGACATCTCTGTGACTTTTTATGCATTTCTGTGGTAGAAGACTTCACTTACTGTTGTTTCTAATTGGATTTATTGGTCATTACTTAATTTTGATGTGAACGTCATAGGTTTTTCTTAAGTAAGTATGTGAGAGCTGCACAGCCTGCCTCCTGGTAAGGCAGCCATCTTGGTTAAAAGTTCCTCTTTTCTTCCTCAGGGTCATGCTGAAGCAATTCTACCTATTCCTTTTTTCCCCTTTCTAAGGAGCACTTATGAGCCATTCTTTCATTTAGCTACAACTGCTTTTCTGGTTTCATTTATAGTGAAAGTGCCCATATAGTTATAATTTAATTCTTCTTGTAAAATATCAACTTGTTAGTTGTCGGACAAAGATTTCACATTTAGAACACCAACAATAAAATGTTCATAGATAGTCTAAAAACTATCAATTTTAGTACTTCCCTCTTTTCTTAACTCTCCAAATGATTACTATGTAAGCAAAAGATGACCATATAGGCCCACAGGCTGTTTTGTATTTTTATCAATTTCAGGGTTGCCATGCCCAAAGAATTCCTAACTTAGCGGCCAACATGTTGGTAATGTGTCTCTCTCTCTCTGGGAGACTGTCCCCCAGACTATACTGATAATATAGTCAGGGCCTTTCCATTTTATTGGAATTTGCTAGATCTTGTCTTTGTTCAATTTTTATCACAGTGGCTTATATGTAGTAGGTACTTAATATATGTTTGTTGAATTGATATCAAAGTTTGTGCTCTATTAATAAAGCCTTCAATAACCCAAGTATCATCTCTGTGCTTTGATGAGATATTTGAGTAGGAAATACAAGTGTCATATCAAAAGACATATGCTTAACTGTAACAACTAAAAGCTATATTCTTTTTCCTATAGATCCTGAGAGCCAGCTATATGACATTGGATATGTCCAAGAAGACTCCCCTGCCTGCCCTGATGAGTTTGATGACTTTGTTACTTATGAGGCAAGTATCATGAAAAAAATCAGAGGCCTGTTGTAGGAGGCATACCTATGTAATACAGTCTGGTGTGTGGCACATAATAAGCACTTAAAAGTGGTTGTTGAATTTAGTTCATTGTTTAGTAAGGATTCCATGATTCAGTTAATGAAACAGACCAGACTAAGAAGAGTATTTTACCATATTTGTTTGTTTTAAATTTGGCTTAACACAAAAGAGTTTGATTTTGAATTTGAATGTGAATTGTTTTGGTACACAGTATAGGGAAACTTTGTTTTGAAGTTGCCATAATGATTTTTGACTGTTCACCAGAAGTGACTCTGTGTCTTTTATCAGACACTGATTAAGTACCTACCATGTGGAAGGTCCTATGCAGGTCCTCGGAGAGGCAAAAAGATCTCACCTTACAGGGAAGGGAATGTAGTGTAGTGTCTGAATTGCTGGGCTTAGAATCAGGAAACTCAGATTCCAATCTCACTTCTTGACATGAGCTATGGGGATATGGGCAATTAATCGTAGAGCCAGACAAGTAGATTGACCAATCCCAAGATAGAACTTTGGGAACTTCCACATGTAGGTGGTGATATATGGAGAATGAGCCAGCAAAGGATACTGAGGAGTGGTCAGACAGGAAGGAGGAGAACCAGGACAGAATAGTGTCATAAATGTCAAAGAAGAGAAAGTGTCCAGTAGGACAAAGTAGTCAACAGTGCCAAATTGCAGCAGAGAGATCAAGTAAGATGAGGACTGAGAAAAAGACCGTTAGATTTGGCAATTCAGAGATCATTGATAACTTAACAACCAAGCCATTTAACTTCATTCACTAGGCCTCAGTATCACCATTTGTAAAATGGGGATAATAATATCTCAAAAGGCTGTGGTGAGAGTTAAATGAAATACTTTATACATAGGAAGTTATAAAGCACTATATAGAGTCAGTTATTACAGATTGGTATTGATGAGAATGGGATCTAGATCCCAAAAAGGAAAAACCCTGGTAGACTTTCCCACATGGCCAGATCTCCTGAGGCTATAATTCCATACCTCCCTATGGCCCCAGGCTGCTTCCCACCCTTAATCCTATCTAGGCTTCTTTCTCCCTTGGCCACCCCTGAAGTTCTATTACCTCACAGACTACTTGGCCACTCCTAGATCCCTCCCATAGTCTTTCTGTATATAAGGTCCATCTTGTCTCCATTAAGATGCTCAGAGTCTTATAATCTAGCCACTGCTGGGATTCTTAAAATCTAACCACTACTCAAATTCTTATAATCTAGCCAATAGCTTACTAATGTTCAGACTCCTTAAGAGTCTACCCAATATTACGGATGTTCTAATAAACCTTGTCTTTGGCTGAAAGAAGGCTTGGGTCAAATTCTTTCCGGCAGGACCCGTGTGTTGTGATATTGGATTCCCAGCACCCCTGAACCCCTAAACCACATCAGTATTGGGAGATGATATTAGTGGTAGACACAGTAATCATTAAAAAGGGTTGTAATTGGTGCAGCTAGGTGGCACAGTGGATAGAGCACCAGTCCTGGATTTAGGAGGACCTGAGTTCAGATGCGGCCTCAGACACATAACACTTACTAGCTGTGTGACCCTGAGCAAGTCACTTAACCCCATTGCCTAGCTTTAAAAAAAACCCAACCAAACAAAAAAGGGTTGTAATTGACTGCATAGGAGGAATACAAAGTGGTGTATAATCAAATGAGAGCAGATTGACTTTGTTGTTGTAGGTCTAACTGAAACCTGACTCTTCTGAAAATATTTGTGATAAGGTCTTCTATCTGTAACTGCTTAATATTCACAGTTGCTGAAGAAGAGCATCTAAGAGCTAGCTTTTATATACCCATGCTTTGAGATATTAATGAGGTACCCTGTGACCAGAAGGACAGAGCAGAATGTTACAGATATTCTGTGATGTCAGAATCCCCTTTCTATTAGGTTACCAGAAAAGGGTGGCTCAGAGGACTGTGAGTTTTCATTTTATCAAAATTTCCTTTAAAAAAAAAATTTCAGCCATGTTAGGAAGATTGACTAATCTATGCTTTTTAACTTTGCCTTGTCTTCCTCCTTCCAAATGTAACCAGTGCTATTGTTATAGTGACTTGTTTGTCACCCATAATTGTAGGCCTTTTGTTCTCCACTAGTGTTGAATATTATAGCCTGAAAGCACAGTTACTGGGGATAAGTTGTTAGAATTATCCTTTTACCAAACTCTTTCCTGGTCCCATAGAATTAGAATAGACACAAGGAGAATTATTGTCCGGCTGGCTTTAAATGTTTTTAAGAAAGGTTTTAAAATGTACTTCAGGCATTTTGGAGATTCTTTAATTCTTAAAGGTTAACTTCTAATGTGGAAAAAGCACTGGACTTGGAGTCTGGCCTTGAGTCCTAGTTCAGAGTTTGCCATTTACTGGCTTTGTGACATGGGTAAATTACTTAACCTTAATTGGGCTTCAGTTTCTTCTCCTTATAAAATGAGAGGATAGATCATCATCGTCATCACAATGACAATTTGTATAAGATTTTATGAGCAGGTGTGTGTGTGTGTGTGTGTGTGTGTGTGTGTGTGTGTGTGTAAGTGTGTAAGAGAGCTGGCCTTTTCAGCTAGGAAAACCCATGTTTATGTCCCACCTCTGACCCACACTAGCTGTGTGATCCTGGGCTGGGTCATTCACCCTCTCACTGATGGGGTTGGGATCTGGACCCCAGAAAGGAAAAACCCTGGACTTTGCCACATGGCCAAATCTCTGTTCACCTGAGGCAGTAATCCCATCAGTTGGCCTTTCATTGTGGCTACACCCAATCTCCCTTAACCTAACCTAGCCCTCTATTGTCTTACCTCCCGATGGCCCCTGGACGTTTCCCACCCTTAATGTTAGCTAGGCTCCATTCGAACTTGGCCATGTAGTCCAGGTCCCAGGAGTTCAGTTTAGCTTACTGGCCACTCCCATCCAGATCCTCCTTAGAGCCCTCCTCCAATCACCCCAAACTACTTGGCCACTCCTAGATCCCTCCCACAATCTTTCAGTATATAAGATCCATCTTGTCTCCATTAAGGTGCTCTGATTTTTATGCTCTAGCCACTGCTCAGATTCTTAAAATCTAGCCATTGCTTGGATTCCTTAACAGTCTGTCCAATATAACAGATATTCTAATAAACCTTGTCTTTGACTGAAAGAAGGCTTGGATCAAATTCTTTCGGACAGGATCCCTGTGTTGTGATTTTTGGGGTCCCAGTACCCCTAAGCCCCTAAACCTCAACATCACCACTGAGCCAAGACCAAATGTTGCTCTGAAGGAGCTGGCTGGAATTGATATCAGCAGGGCAGACCTCTCTATTCCTGTACTGCTCTTAATGTACAAATTGCTTTACGTAAATCATCTCATTGATCCTGCTACCATGTTTGTAAAGTAGTTACTACAAGTGTGATTATTCCTACTTATGACTAGGGAAACTGGGGCTTAGAAAGATGAAGTGACTTGTTCATGACCAATCAATCAAGTGTTTGTTAGGTACTTACTCTTTGCTAGGCACTGCTAGGCCCAGCTAGTTAGTAAACAGGTGAGATTTGAGTGCAGGATTCTGCTAATTCCAAGTCTAGCACTATTTCAGCCACACTACAATGCCTCTCACAAGGACCCTTCCAGCTCCCTGTTATGTTTTATTTGTTATTGCTGTCATTCACTTACTGTCCTCAATACTTAGAGAAGCATCCTCATATATGTTACTGTTACATTTCAGATATCTCTGTTTTCCTGTCCTTAATGAAAGTGACATCACTTGGACATGCAATTAGTTAGTAAGGGGTCTTACTGGAGTCAGAGAAAGGGCTTTTAAAAGCTAGTTCTTCTTATCCTAATTATCATAAGGAAACTAGAAAGAAAAGAGAGTCAAAAAGGCTCATGATGACCTTAGGCATTTAGATTCATCAGTCCATGCCATCCCTAGGTTATAGTGAATTGAATTTCTTGTCCTAAGCACTTTCTTTAGAGAGAATTCCTACACTGCTACACCTGGGCACTGACCCAGGGAATACTACTTTTGTTGAACACTTTCCTGGTTCCATAGAATAAGCATAGACTGTTGTCGCTGAAGAAGGAAGGGTATTTAAGGACCTTACAGTAGCCATGTGATCAGAAAGCACTGACTAAATCCCTATAGTATATAGGCACTGTGCTTCATGCTGGGCATAAAATAGAAAAGTGAGACAGTCTTTGCCCTTGAGCAGCTTACATTCTGCTTAGTGGATATAACATGTTCACATGAAAAGATACGACCTATTCAAAATAAATACTAAGTGATTTGGGAGGGCAGGGTACTAAAACCTAGGGGAATCAGGAAGAGATTCTTGCAGGAGGTGGCACCTCAGCCGTGAAAGGTGCTGGGGTTTCACAGAAGGGACCCAGTGGCGCATGGAGACAGCAGATGGTATGTCATGTATTGTGAGGAAATGGCAAGTGAGCCTATTATAAATCTCATCAATAAAATTATGTATATATAAAACTAAATTATATAGACAATTATATGTGTACACATATACATGCATACATATATGTGTGTGTATGTATATATATATACACACATACATATATACATACATATATACACACATACATATATACATACATACATACATATATATATATATATATATATATATATATATATATATATAATAGTTACATATATGATAGGTCCTGTTCTTAAAACAAAAAAGAGAGAATGAGTTTTCTTTTGGGGGGATGGGGAGGTAGACTTCTGGTTTTCTCAGTATGAGGACTTCCTTGTGTGAAAACTGTCTGCTGATGGAGATTGGCAACTTGCCTGCTACTTAAAATCTTAAGTCATTTTCCTATAGTCATATAGCTATTATTATATGTTAGTAGCAAAATTTGATATCATGTTTTCCTCACTCCAAATCTGGCTCTCTATTTTTTTTAAGAAGTTGAAATAAAATTCTAAAGACTTAAAACAATTTAAAGTAATTCCATTCCCC